CATTTCTTGTGATGTTGTCTCTGATGAAGTGATGGCGTGTGTCGATATGTTTACTTCGATTATGATAAACAGGATTCTTAGCCAAGGCGATAGCTGACTTGTTATCGACACAAATCTTTGTTGGCTCTTCTTGCGGTAATTTTAACTCCTTCAATAAATTTCAAAGTCAAATTGCATGATAGACACATGAAGTTGCAGCAATATACTCAGCTTCACAAGTATAAAGGACAACGATTGGTTATTTGTTTGACATCCAAGTGAAAATAGTCTCTCATGTAGAACACGAACCCTGTAGTGCTTTTTCGCTCATCTAAGTCTCCGGCCCAATCGCTATCACTATATCCGACAAACTTGAAGTCATTTGATGATGAATAGAATAAGTCAAAGGAAATCGTCCATTTGATATATCGAAGAATCCTCTTGGCAGCCTTTAAGTGAATTGTTGTTGGTGCCTCAATATAACAATTAACTATTCCAACAGTATAAAGGATGTCCAGCCTAGTGCAAGACAAATAGCGCAAGCTACCGACCAAGCTCTTGAAAAATGTTGGATTAACCATTTCATTATTCTCCTTTTTTGAAAACTTGCCTCCAAATTCCATCGAAGTGCTTATGTGGTTGCAATCATTCATATTGAATTTCTTGAGTATTTTTTCCATAGCTTTCTTGAGAAATAAAGATGCCTTCATCCTTTTGCTTAACTTCAATACCCAGGCAGTATGCCATTTGTCCAATGTCCATCATCTCAAACTCTTTAGCCATCACTTTCTTGAATTCTTTAAACATATTTGGATTACTTCCAGTGAAGATCAAATCATCCACAAACAAACACACTATCAGAATATCCCCATTCCTTGACTTTGATGTAGAGGGCATGCTCGTAAGGACATTTGCTAAAGTTATTCTCAAGGAAATACTTGTCGATGCGGTTGTTTCATGCCCTAGGTGCTTGTTTTAACCCGTAGAGAACCTTCTTCAGCTGCAAAACCTTGTCTTCTTGCCCTTTAACTTTATAACCTGGTGTTTGTTGAATGTAGACTTCATCTTCAAGGACTCCATTTAGAAAGGAGGACTTTACATTCATTTGATGTATTTTCCACCTATTTTGAGCTGCCAAAGAAATGATTAGCCTTATAGTTTCAAGTTGAGCAACATGAGCAAATACCTCATCATAGTCGATGCCAGCTATTTGGCTATAACCTTTCGCCACTAATCTTGCTTTATATTTCTCAACTTCTCTTTTGGCATTCTTCTTTACTTTGTACACCCACTTTACACCAATTTTCTTATGTTCTATTAGAAGTGCAGCTAGCTCCCTTTTATCGTTCTTCTCGATTGTTTTGATTTCTTCGTCCATTGCCTCATTCTAATTCTTACTTTGTACGGCTTCTTGAAAATTCACGAGTTCACAATCGGCAAAGAGGCAAAAGAGAGTGAGATTGTCTTGATTCTAGTTACCACATAGATTTCATGTAAAGTTCTAAAATGTGGTACTTTTTGCATGTCCCTTCACTTGAAGATGATGGTCCTCTTGAGTACTTGCAGTTGGTGTAGTTTGTGGTGTTATGGGCTCATCTCTTTCTTGATCCATCCTTGGCTGCTCAACTTCTTTATCCTTAAAGAAGTTGTAGTGATCTTCATGTGGGTCCCAAACCCATTCTTTTTCTTCATTAAATATGACATAACAATTGATGATTGTCTTCATAGTATTTGGATTATATAACTTGTAGCCTTTTGAGCAGGAGTCATAACCAATGAAAATATACTTCTGACGCTTGTCATCTAACTTATTTTGTTGCTCATCAGGTACGTGCACATGGGCTATGCTTCCAAACACTCTTAGATGAGAGATACCGGGCTTCCTTCCACTCCATGCTTCCTGCAGTGTCATTCACCAAACACTTCTTGTTGAAGATCGATTGGATAAGTAAATCGCGCATAAAACATCTTTGGCCCAAAATTCCTTAGGTAGTCTCTTACTCTTGAGCATACTTCGAGCTATATCAAGGATAGTTCAATTCTTTCTTTCTGCTACACCATTTTATTGAGGAGATCTTGGGACGGTCAACGTATTCCGTTGGCTTCACAAAATTCTTAAAATTCTTTTGAAGTAAACTCCCCTCGCTCGGATTGCATGGCTTTGATCTCGAGGCCGTTTTCTTTCTCCACCAAAGCTATGAATTTTTTGAATACTTTAAATACCTCCAATTTTTTCTTTAAAAAATATACCCATGATTTTCTTGAAAACTCATCTATGTAGAATTACTCTTACCGAAAGAGCTTGGCTTGATTTGATCACATACATATGTATGTATGAGTTCAAGTGACTTTCTTGCTCTAAAATTTGACTCCTTTGGAAAGCACTTCCTGAATTGCTTCCCGAGCAAGTAGCCTTCACATATCTGATCTGGGTGGTTGATGCAGGGCAGACGTCTCACCATTTTTTTCTTTGATAATAGCTCCAGTCCTCCAAAATTAAGATGCTCAAATCGAAGATGCCAGAGCCAAGATGAGTCTTTGTTGCATGCTTTGAGACACTTGGCAATATTATTTTGAATATTGAGCAAGAACATTCTATTTCTTGACATTGGTATATTTACAATTAGGTTGCTCATATTGTCTCTTATAGAAAGATTTTTATCTTTCAAATAAATATCATAACCTTTCTCTAAGTGACCCAGACTTAAGATATTACTCTTCATATTTGGCACATAATAGATGTTGAAAATGAATTGGTGCTTTCCATTCTTCAATCGGATGCGAATATTATATTTTTCCTTCACAGCAACCTTGGACTCATCTCCAAAGGATACATTGCCGCTCACAGACTCGTCAGGTTCCATGAACATACTTTTTCTTCCGCACAGCGTTGCTTGCACCGGTGTCCAGATACCATGTGTTATCTCTTCCTTTTTCATTCTCCTTATATGCTAATAGCAAAGTGTCATCTTGTTGACTTCTCTCTTCCACATAATTAGCCTTCTCTTCAATTTTATTGTTATTGAGAGTTCTACATTCTGCAGCATAATGACCAAATTTTTACAATTATAGCACTTCACTTGAGATTTGTCATACCTTGATCTTGATTTTTCTCTTATACGCCCTCTTGTTGAACTTCCTCCTTGTCCAAAATTTATATTATTGTTCTTGTCATTATTAGAGCTCCAACCTCGTTTGCATCCATGACCACAGCCTTGTCCTTGACCACGACCTCTTCTTTGTTGGCTTCTACCATACTTGAGGCTCTCTTATTTAGCTGAATTAATTTTTGTTTACAGGAGTTGTTCCGTGATAACTTGCTTGTTCTTTTTCTTTTCTTCAAAGGCTTGTAAGAAACCCAGAAGTTGCTCGATTGTCATAGCATCTAAGTCTTTGGTTTCTTCAATAATGGCGACGATATGATCGAACTTTGAATCTAAAGATCGAAGAATTTTCTTTATAATCCTTACATATTCTAACTTCTCACCATTTCTTTTTAATTGATTAGAAACAGCTAATACTCTAGTAAAGTAGTCGGAGTCGACTTCAACTTCTTTCATATGTAAGGCTTTAAACTCACCTCTTATTGTTTGGAGACGCACCTTCTTGACTTGATCCGCTCCTTTTTAAGAGGTTTGAAGCTTCTCCCATGCCTCTTTGGCAGACTTCGCATCGAAACTCTTCTCAAAAGCATCAACATCTAATCCTTGAAAGATTAGATAGAGAGTCTTCTTGTCTCTCTTCCTTGAATTTCTTAGACTATCTTTTGAGCTTGGGATAAACTTGACTCATCTTATGGCTCCTTGTAGCCATTCTATACCATCTCCCATACATCTTGTGCTCCAAGAAGGGCCTTCATTTTGATGCTTCAATTGTCATAGTTGCTATTGTTGAGCGTCGGGACTTGGAAAGGGATCATACCATTGCTCGCCATCTCTTTAGGAAGAAACTTTGGCTCTGATACCACTTTGTTGGAAAATAAGAGGCTATAGAAAGAGGAGGAATTCTAAAAGAGAAGATGAACACTCGTAAAACTCATTTTTATTTCACTATTAAACTTCTTGATTCTACTTTATAAATAAACACAAAGACACCACCCCTATTTATACTAGTGACTTCCCCTTTAGGATTGTGCCAACACATTTCAATTCAATGGCTACTTTGACTCTCTAGAATATTCTCTTATCTTCTTTTACAAAAGTTATTAATTGCATATTCTAAAATTCTCTAAATAAATATTTTAGAATATATTTTTACAATCCTCTAAAACATTCATCATAAAGTGGGATTCTAGAATCTTCTAAAGACTTTTTAAGACTATCGGGTCAATTAAAAGGCTCACTCAATTAAAGGCCCAATTAATCAAGTTTAATTTTCAACATAAGAAGAAAGAAATAAAAGAAAATCTCAATAAGTTTGAAACATCATCTAATTGCACCGACAATACCTTTTAGAGGAATATATAAAGTGGAAAATTTTCAAGTATTTGTTTAATCCTCTTTTTTTGTTATTTCTTGAAAGTTATTTCTCTCTTATTATAAGACACCTATGTATTGTAGCTTCTTTATTAGTGGATTGGATCATCTCTCATTTCCTATAAAGGTAAACTTACTTAAGTTTTTGGTTGAAAATAGATTTAGACATCGGTGTATTTGGCCTAACTGTTGTTAAATGTTGCCAAAAGGTCTAAACACCGCCAGCAGCTAAAGCATATAAAAGCCCCAAAGAAAACTCATTCATCAAATATTTTGTTTTATTTTAAAAATAATAACAAAATATTTAAAGCCACACAGAAACAGAGATAATCATATTCTACATTTTCTGAAATCTCCCAAGGCTGAGATCGAAGTTAGACGACACAATCAAGCGGCAAATTACCCCAAAAATCAAAACCGAACCATGAAAGAAATCGAGAAATATTGATTAAAAAATTTCAAGAACTACAAAATTACAACCACTAAACGACATTAACGAGCTAAGAAAGAATGAAAAAGACTAAAAGAACTCGGGCTAAAGCGTACGAGAAGGGGGGTAACTCCCAGCAGTTTCGAACCAGAACTCTGCCTCCCAAGCCTCTGACGGGGTCTCTTCCCTGACAAAGTCAAAGTACCTCGATGCATCGAACTCGTAATCAAAATCAACTTCCAGGCTGAGGAAATTCACTTCCGCCTCCGCCATCTGCAGCTCCATCCTCTCCAGGCGTGAGAAAGATTCAGTGCATGCAACTACTATCAAATAACCAACGACAAACACAGTCGCCTAATCCTCCTACCAATCGAATGAAGTTCAAATGTGCCCTAAAGCTGCCGTTACCCTGCGAAGGAGACGAACAGGAACTACAGCTGCAGCCTGCACGAAGTACGAAAGCACCAGAAATTTGAATGCGGGGTCGGAACTCCGGAAACACAAATGGCATTTAAGCCCCCTCATTCTTGGCAAGATCCTGGGTATTTTCGTCATTATTTGTTGTACAGGGTCCTGTTTGGAATTACAAAAGGAAATGACATCGTATGAACTCTAGTCTACTCAAGAATTTAAATGGCACGTAAATGCCTCTTATCCTTGCCAGTCGGCCATTTTGTAATTACAGAATGTTTGTGTTTCCTTGTGTAATTTGGCCAGTGGTGTTCCGTTGGAGAATGAAGGGAAGGGCGTCGATTCGGGGAGGTAGGTGGAGGCGTTTGGGGCCGCGGAACGTCGCTGAATTCGAAATGTTCGGCGTTTGTACTTAAGATTTGCAAAATATTTTTTAAAATTTGATTTAACAAAATAATTTCTTAAATGATATGGATAATTTTGAATCGTTTATTTTATAAAGAGCACATTAAGTTCTATATTGATAAAAAGAGTATTTTTAATATAAATTTTAAAAAGTATCAAATTCTTCAAATGAAATAGATCATTAGAATGCGAGTCAAAATAAATAGTGCATTTTGAATATGTTATTTTAATTGGCGCATTCAACTCAAATAGGGAGAGAGAAACCACAGTAAAGAGGGTGGATGTGTTTTTTGTGGTTTTTTTTAATAATTCTTTAAAAAAATTAATTCAATTTAATAAAATAAAAATAAAATAGTTATAAATATATAATAAATATCAAAATTAAATTTATTTAAGTTTTTCTTTAGGGTTTAGATTAAATTGAATTATAAATTCAAAGAAGAAAATTTTTAAAAATCATAAATTTTGATATTTATTAGGTATATTTTCATGCATTTTATATTTATATTTAACTTTAAATTTGTATGATATTTATTATATATTTATAACTATTTTTTATATTTTAATATTTATTTGACTTTTTTCCTTAGAATTAAAAAGAAAAAACAAAAAAAAAATATTTTTCTCTCCCGTCTTCTTTCACTTGTTCGCGCTATTCAATCTCTTTTTACCATCGTCGTCTCTCTCCCACAGTCCCACTACCATCTCTCTCACCCTTTCTCTCTCTCTCTCACTCTCTTTTTTCTCTCCCTATTTAAGTTGAATGTGCCAATCAAAATAGCTCATTCAACTCATTTTTTTAAATTTGCATCAAACATACTCCCTTCGCTACTTATGAGGCTTAATCTGCTCTTTTATAAATAAAACCATTATGGATTGAGTACTGAAATCCATTTTAGATGAGAATCGAATTCAGAATTTGTATTGTTTTTCTCAAGATTTTAGCAGAATAAAGACTATAGAGAGTAAGAGATAACTGATATTTAACGCTTTGGATGAGTGCCTTGGATAGGCTTGTCAAATATGACGACTTTGTTTTGCTGCATCATGTATGTTAATGGTTGTTGATGGGTTCATATCTGCAGTGCGATGAGTTGTCAACTTAATAAAATAATTAAGTTGCTAAAACGTTGCAGAACTGCAAAGATAGAAAATAATAATAATAATAATAAAGATACCCTTGATCTTGTTCAACTTCAATAACTTACAAATTTTGAACACTTTTTTAAAACACTTGAATTGGCTCATAAGAAGACTGAGATGATTGAAAAAATGAAACTACAAATGGGCCAAGCAAGAAGAAACATGCTTGGTTCATCGAAAAGGGCAGGTTGGCAAGATAAGGTAAAATTTTCTATTTTACCTTTTAGTATAGATAGATATGATACCTCTGAAACTTTGAAAATGGAGCTTTGAAGCAAGCCCCTCTGAAACTTTAAAAATGGAGCTTTGAAGCAAGCCCCTCTGAAACTTTAAAAATGGAGCTTTATAATCATGAAAAAGAAGAAGATGATAAAAATGATTATGTTATAATATTAAAGGTTAAATTCTGAAGCATGACACAACTCATCTTGGCCTGTTGGTTAGCCACTTAGGCTACCGACTAAGAGGTCTTGGATTCGAGTCTTGTATATGCGATATGTGTGTGAGCCTACCTTAATTGGCCTAAATGTTCAAAAAACATTCTGAAGCATGTGTTTCCCCTTGTAATTCTATTATAACATATTGGTTGAATCTCTAAATTAATTGCGAATGATAGTGATACGTCATCAAAAATTGTTTTGATCGAGCATGAATCTCAAGGAATATTAAAGTTAGAAACTTCCAAAATTAAATTAGGGACCCTCAAAATTCTAATTTTAGTAACTGTATAGTCAAACTAGACGTATCGAAGAGACAAACTCAATGACAACAAATCAATCCAATCCGAGCCCAAATGGGTCTGAATTAAGTGCGAAGCATATTCAAAAGGTTCAAAACACTAATTGGTTGACAAAATAATATTCAAATATAGCATGCTTATAGTGGCATTGAGCGGCTCGACAAGACGAATCAAACGAGCCTAAGATCACTAAATTCCAACATCATTAAGGCTCATAAACACTTGAAAAATGCTCTATGATAAGGGGGATCAATATGGGTTCAACATTTTAAATATACCCCAAATCTTCTTCATACTTCCGGAGCATGCTACTCTAAAAAATATAAAAATAGACGGGCTACAATAACTTCAAATTAATTAATCATAATTTCAAAATTTCTTATATCAAAGTTTTCCCTTTACACTGAACTTTTCATAAAAAGTACTCAAATCTTCTTCATCTAACTCATAACAATATAAAGTGTTTTTGTTAATCAATCCAAAATTGAAAGCTTCACTTAATTATTTTGCCCCATTTATCAACAAACACAATTCACTAATTAATGAGAAAATCTATCTTCATAATAAAATTTAATGCAACTTTCATTATCATGAGAAAATCTTATCTTCATAATAAAATTTAATACAACATTCATTATCATACCATGTTTGAACATGACATTTGTCCAATAGTCGATCCTCAAGTCACCATAAATTTATTCAATACACAAAAAATATACATTATTTAAATCCAGAGGTTCTTTTCGTGAAACTTTCTTTGAAATATTAATAATTTTAACTCAGATAGTACCAAAAGTAAAATCAAAACAATTGAATATGATTGAATTCACATTAATTGTACTTTAATAAATCCAAACAACTTAACAATTTGTGTTATGCATGTAATGCAAATTGCATTAAAAACAATAAAAGAAAAAGCTACAAAAGATAAAACAAACATAGGTGATAGCTAATCTATCACACTCCTTTCTAACAACCAAATCAAAAATACTTGATGAAAGGTCAACCAGAAGAAAAGTATCTAAAAAAAATCACCATAAATGGCATAGTGCGCACAAGCATCCGACATACTATTGCCCTCTCTAATAACAAAATGAAAATTTACATTATTAAAAGCTTCAAGAAAAGAGAAATCCATGCTACAAACTATATTCTTCTTGTTGAGCACCAATTTCTTCTATAAATTGATCACATTGATGTTCCCTCCAATGACAAAACCTTTCTTGTCTACTATCCAATCTTTAATTATCTTTGAAATTGAAAATTGTTATTAGCTCCAAAAGTGATATATCCCAATGCAAAAGCATCCTTCCATATGCTAGCAAAAATCTTCCTCTATGATCCCTTAAAAGTTAAAACTCCTATATTTGTTTCTTTAGAATTCACTTGGTGTGTCAATTATTTGCACAACTCGATAATCCTATCCAGAAAATCTAAGTTTGGGTCGACCTGTTTAAGAAGAATTTATTTTTCAACCCGTTTAAAAAACAAGACTGGTCTGAATCAACCAAGTAACCCAAAATAGCCTCGATCAACACGACTCGCCACACTCCGCACCACGCACTTCCGTAACCCCGAATTACAATGACACGTCTATGCGCCTATTAGCAGTCACCACATTGTCCCCGCACCACTAGTCCATCAATCTGCTTTCCGATTGCTCTAGCCCAACTCACACAAACCGAGTCGCCATCAAACCAGCTAATCACAATCTTGGGTGTCCTACACTGCAGCTCGAACTACATAGGTGCAACACGACAACGAACAAACTCGCATAACCTCCCTTGCCCAATCAAAGCAGTCAAAACTCTTGGTATCCTTATCACAATGCGCCAAACTCGCATCATGCTCGTAAACGTTCACAAACCCATATTCCAGGTTTGTCCCAAGTAAAGTAGGATCAACCCAAAAACATAGTGAGTTTGATCCAGGTTGAAAATCCTACCCCATTTATAAAATCAAGTCAAATTAGGAGAAATCCATTTAAACCCAAATAAATTTAAATTTGATTCAAACCCAACCCATTGACCAATTTTTACACCCTTACACCTGACCAAGGACTTCCACCCGAACAAAAACAAAATTTTGCAAAAATTTTTTTTTTTTTTTTTTTTTTTTGAGTCGTGGAAAATATAAATAAAAACGTTGCTCACGCAGTGGTTATCACTTTAATCTTAGCTTTGCTATTACCAAACGCTCCAAGAACACGGAGTTTTCTACATGAATAACCAGAAAGTTCACTACATGAATGACTAGCGAATTTCATCAATAGGGTGCAACCCGCTACATTAAATTGAGCTAAAACCCACTACGGCACTGCCACGAATATAAAGTAAGTACTATTTATTTTCTTTTTTACAAAAAAAAAAAAAAAAAAACATCATCTCATATTGATCAAGATTATTACATGGAAAAGAATAAGAGATGCGTTACCAAGCAATTATTACAGTTACTGAAGAGGATGAGAACCACCAACTCAATCCTACTTTATTTTCCAACATTAAGCTAAAAATGGCCACATCAAGATAATTACGTCAACAAAAATATACTGATCTCCAAGAGTCTCAATTTGATGGAGTCAAAATGGGGTTAATAGGTCGGGGTTTGATCCAACCAAAGATTGACTCAAATTCCGCTCAAAAAACGAAATAAAATATTAAAAACTACTTTGAACAAAAATAAGTTTTACAGGTCCCCAAACCAAATGCAAACTCATTTTTTAAACAAGTCGACCCAAACCAAACTTTTTTGGGTTGAGCTTGTATTTGATTGATAATTCGGGCAATTTATTAACCCAATAATAGATATAAATTGGGCCATCAGCACAAGCCGATAATAGATATAAATTGGGCGGGCAATTTATTAACAACCCAATAATAGATATAAATTGGACCATCAGCAAGGCCGATAATAGATATAAATTGGGTCATCATAAGACTTACGATTAGTTTAAGACGACTTTCTTACTGATTCTTAAAAAGAGGTAGATGGATCACTTCATCGAGTTCAACTATTATGATAAAGAGAAATTCTTTTCACACACACCGCCATTATATTGTTAAGCAACACAACACAAATTAGCAAAAAAAATTGTTTGAAATAACATTGTGCATTAAAAGCCCTTAGAATTGCTTTGAGAAATTGTATAAGGAATACCTAAAAAAGATTCTGAGTGATCATCATCATTAGCTCGAGGAGATGAGTGAAAAGAAAATTCTTAGAAATGCCCACAATAATTAGTTAAGACAAATGCATTGAAAAAAATTTTATATGCATGCAAACCATGGCCAAATCGACTCAACCAACAACTTAACAATTTGCAGCCCTTAAGTTTTGGGCATTAGCATGAGACCTTCCCCTATCAACATCATCATCCTCAAGCACAAACAAACCCTAAAAATATAAAAACAAACCCTTAAAGTAGGGAATGATGGATTGTCTCTTCGGAGGCATCCGATAAATTTAAAACTATACAGAAGAATAGCATGGCCCCTACACAAGAATGACACGCATAAATCGAAAAATGGTTCAATTTAAATAATAATAATTAAAATATACAAATCCTTGAAGTAGGGAATGATGGATCACCTTACCATGGGTTTTAACCCAAATACAACCACTATAATCATGAGAAATGCTTACAACACGGCATCAAAGAAATCTTGAAGAAGAAGAAGATGATAAAAATGATTATGTTATTTTCACTTATTTTATGCTTTAAATTAAAACAATTTCATCAGTGTTACTTCGACGGTAGAATATTTTCGCAATTCAACAAACCAAATGATCCTTAAAGAATTCTTTGTATGAATGCAGAAGATAGTGCTACTTCATTTGACATGCAGATGCAAGCATATAAGAAACTACAGAGAATTGAACCATCAGGACGTACTTGCATCGTCCAAGGCTTCGTTAGGGATGGCTCTTACTGATTTTAAAGTAAATTTCAACAAAAAATTCTTAAACTAAATTTTTTTATGCTAAAAAGTTATTTTAGAAAGCCGTCCCAAACGAAGCCTAAGTACCAAGATAACTCGACGAAGCCTAAGTACCAAGATAATTTGAGTTCAGAGTAGCAGAGATAGAGAAAGATAAGGCAAGGGAGAAAATCAACTTCATCGCCTCCAAGAGTAATGAAAGAAATTTTACTCACGTTTTCCAAGAGATGATTATAAATCAAATCAAACATGTCTAAGAAGATTCCATACCCAAGGGATGTCTAGTAGAAAGATCCGAACAGAATTTAACTAAAATTCTGCCGAAAGCAAAATTGCCAACCTCGAAACCCGTTTCACTCCCGTTTTGAATTGGACGGATTTCACTAAAATCATCACATCACATGCTCTTCTCCTTCACATTCCATCATACGCACTACGAGCCCGGTCTTCTCCAGGATGCCTCCATCGCTTCCTCTTAAATATTTAGTTAAATTATTGGTAGTATAAAATAATTATCTAATATCTATAAAAAAATAAAAAAAAGAAAAAGAAAAAAAGATAAACTAAACAAAAATTTGACCAACAAAGTTCAACGTATTCTAATGCTGGGCAATAGAAAGCTCATTAAAATCTAATTTGGACATGGTAAAATTGAGAATGAGACGTGACTAAATAAAAAAAAAAGGCTAATAATAATGATAAATGCAATACCCTTTTATCTGCCTTTTTGTAAAAAGATTATTTCATTATATTTTGGTAAAAATACCATTTTGATACAAAAAAGCCAACCAAAAACCCACAAATTCGGGCATAATGTCTTGTAATGAAACGAACAGAGAGAAAGAGAGATAGATGGTGAAAGTTTGGAATTATTTGCCCATTGTAATGAAACAATATGTGCCTAAAAAATCTTAATACATTCCAACAATAATTAATCAGACAAATGTAATGGATAAATAACTACCTGCACAATATTCGTAGCCATAAAATTTACTGTCTTATATTTTCACGAAAAGAAATGAGTGTAAGAATATGCTTCCAAATATGCAAGAGAACATTTGATCACTCAATTAATATTCAAAATCATTTGTTAATATCTTCAGCTGACATGTGAAAGCAAATGAAAACTGATATATCATCAAAAATTATCTTGATCGGGCATGAATCTCAAGGCAAAATCAAGTTGGAAACTTCTGAAATTAAATCTGGGACCATCCAAACTTCGATTTCAGCAAACTTACAGTTAAGCGGAAAGTCTCAAAAATATGAACCCAACGACACCAAATTCAACTCAATCTTAAGCCCAAATGGATCCAAATCAAAGACTCAAAACACATTTGAAAAGTTCAAACCAAAAATTGGATGACCAAACAATTACCAAAAGTGACGTGTATAGTTGAATCAAGCGGCTCGACCAGACGAATCCAAAGAGCCCAAGAGCGTCAAATTCTGATATAATTAAGGCATTCGCAAAAGGAGAGAAAAAGCATCAAATGATAGTGGAGTCCATCAAATAAGACAAGCAGAAAATCTTTGCCTACTACATTGCACATTGTGCAGCACAAAGAATGAGGAAGAATGAGGAACTAATAAGAAGACAAGGGATCATATGATGTTGAGAGTCCTAAAATAAGACAAGTGTAGCAGCTATGGTTGCCTGAGAACCTTCAGACCATCCAAACATGCCACATCATTACCATAGGAAACATAGAGATATTCCATTGCAACCATATGCAACTGATGGCGAAATTCTGAATCATATTATTAACTCCCCCACAAATTCTTACTAGAAAGAGACATCAACAACACACTACTGAATGTAACTTAAGAGAGCATATATTCTAACTTTAAGCAACTGAATGAGCCCTACAGAATATTCTTTGTAACAATTCAAAAGTACATGCTACTTCATCTGACATGCATATGCAGAGAACAATATAAACTTTGCAGAATTGATCCGATCATGAAATATTGCAATGCGTATCTACCATGATAATTGAAGAGGTTTAAAGCATCACACATATAGACGAAGGGAGAAGGCTAAAGACAGAGAGAGAGAGAGAGAGAGAGAGAGAGAGAGAGAGAGGGAGAGGGAGGGAGGGAGCAAATCATCATCACCGAGCTGCTGGGTAGCAGTTTCTGAGAAGAATTTGACCTAAATCCAGCCAAACAGCGTAAAACCAACAGAATCTTAAATTTCTCCCGTTTTATCTTTATATCCCCGTTTAGCTAAATCAAGACTGGAAGGATTTCACCGGTCACTGCTTCGGCCGATTCTCCTTCAGTGGCTTTAACATTCGTCAAGAGTTCATAGAATTTTGATTAGGGGAAGAAAGACGACAGCTTCGGACATTAGGTTAAGAAGCTGAATGGATGCAGAAATTAAACAGGACTTAGCATAATTCCACCAAACAGCAAAAATAACAACTTTAAGACTTCGTTTGGGAGAATTATCTTACTCTTTGATACAGCAGTTTTCTAGTAAAAAGCTTGATGAAAGAAGCATAAAAAACAGTGGACTAAAAATATTCCAAACGAAGTTTAAATCCCGTTTCTTATCCGTTTTGCCTTTAATCCCAGATTTAGAATATACGATAGTTCGTCAGATTTACGGGAATTAGCAACTAAACACCACTTCAGCCATAAAGCATCAACATGCTGATAAACTACACATTTGCCAATTTAGGTCGTCAATATGCCTCGTAATGACTGTAGAGATCAAGAAGCCATTGCAATGACTGCATCGGTATGTTAGCTTTAACAGTCATAATCATCAAAAACAGCCAAAGAGGAAGATCTTAGATCTTCTCTACGAATAACGATAACTAATACAAGGTAGAGCAAGAGCAGAACAAACTTCAATCCTTTGCATTACCACAGTAAAGGATTTATTAAATACTTTGCAGAAATCCTCTCCACACATCACTAATTATGTCTTCTATGATAATGCCCCACTATATCGCAAAAAAGACAAACTAAGGCCTCGTTTGAGACAGCTTTCTTACCGTCTTATAACGCAGCTTCCAAGTTCAAATTTTCAAGTTTAAGAATCAAATCAGACTAAGGATAAGGAAAGCTGAACCATGAAAGATCCACTGATATGGCAAACAGTACCTGCATAGAAAAAGTTATAAACATAGGCACTGATGACTTATATTTGAAAACTTCAACAACAAAACAACTTGGTGCAACAACACACAGAGTCATGCTTCTTCCATAACAAACCCATCCACCACAAATATACATCTGACACAGCCATATAATTTCAAAGGTAATCATACCTACCAAACTGCACATTGTGCAACACCAAAAACCTATAAATATAATAATCCAAAAAGGAAAGAATGTGACTAAGAAAAGATAATAACAAGTAGCTCAATTGACAACGGGATCCATGAACAACAAAAAGTAGTGCTCTTAAGATCATAGTACATGAATCCCCCTAGCAATCACAGCTGTGGTTCCTGAAGTTTCAGGCCATTCTGAAATGCAACATAAAC